GTGTTTTTTTACGTACCCGGAGCTCGGCCATTTCAAGTCCCGTAACGGAAAAAAAAACAACAACAAAAAAACAGAAACTAGAAAAATGTAACCAAAAGGAATTAGGGCTAAATTTACAAATTCTTTATTTAAAAACCCCTGGAGTATATATAAAGGAGATCCTCCCAGCCAAAACTCATTCTGCCTGTTTGAAAACCTCCAGCAATGCCCATATTTACACATCCACGTGTTGTGACCTCGTGGGTGGCACCAGCAGGCCCGGACACTGTGGCCACAGAACAAACACCCCAAACCAGTGAACAGGGGGGAAATACACATTTCTGACACCATAAAGCAAACCACAGAGAGAAGACATTCAAAACACACAAGATGCAAGTACTTCCAGTGAGTGGAAATGTTTCTTCTCTTCCTATAGCACTGTTTGTTTCACAGGGGAGACACCCATTTTAAACAAAGGACTTCAACTTCTAATGAGAAGGAAACGTAAATAGTGCAAACTCTGGCCAAACCATTTCACCACATGAAAGGAATTTATGTGTAATGCAAACAAAACCAAGGAAAAATTATTGAGAGGGCAGGGCTGGGAGCAGAAGCAACGGGCCCAGCGTCACACCCGGGGGCTCAACACCAAGTGAGGGTTTCAGCTCCAACACGGGCTGGGCAGAGACATCACAGAACTGTCACCTAAACCCAGCAACTACTTAACTTCCATTTCAAATTACCTTTAATTTTCAGGTGGAGCACCCCAGAATGCTCGTCCCTGGAAGGCAGCCCAAGGCAACCCCCAAGGAACACCAGGCCCTGGCAACTCTGCTGCCTGTTGGGCAGCCTGGTAAACCCTCCTGCCCACAACTCCAAACAGCCAAAGTGGGAAAGCCCTTCCAAGCCAGATGTGTAACAAAACACATCAGGTTACTTTCTGACTAGGACATCAGTTAAGTAGCATTTTGAAAAGGTAAAGATAAATTTAAATGTGCCAGCTGTGGTTTACATCAGTTCCTAGGGCAGTTTTCCAGCATTTCTTGAATACTTGTAGCATCAGAGCTTTCACATCCAGCTGCTCCTTTGCTTTTCAGGGGGAAAAAAAGCAAAAAAGCAAAGATCTGTATTTCCTGATACACAAAACTACCAAAGGTGAATCCATGAAGTCCCCCAAAACAAACGATGAGAACAGATCAGCAACAGAAAAAGGACTTTAAGGCAGCAAGAGGCATCAGTGCTGTGACCCTCCCTTGTTTACATCCCAACTCATGTTTAACTGCAGATAATTTCTCTTCTCCCCCCCCTCCCCAGTCTCCTCCTCATCTGTTAACTGTCAGACTCTTCCTCCTTCTCATCCTCCTCATCATCGTCCTTGGCGTTGGCCTCGGATTTATCCGAGGACTCGTGGAGCAGGACATAC